TCCAAGAAGGCCCTATGGCCGGAAGTGAAGGAATAACTGGTTGTAGTGATGAACTCAGCAGTCCCCCACACAGCAATTCCAGCACGTGCAAGAGATCTGAGGCTTCACCTCTTGTGAAGCAAAAGAAAAGCCAGAGTGGTAAAGTAAGGAGAGGAAAGGTGAGAGGAGGAGCGATGAAGCTGGAGAGTCTGGCAGCTCTCTTTTTAAGTCCTCTAAGGAATGAGAAGCCACAAAGTCAAAGAGGCAGAGACAGGCTCTCAGATCTGCAATGTAAATTTGTAGCCCAAATCTCCACTGCCACCCATTCTTCAAATGTCACCTCTGGCCCCCACACCAGGTAATAGTTGCATGATCAGGAGACATTTCAAAAATAATATGCATGCAAACATGTGTATGTGCATGTGAATATACATAAATGTATGCATGTATATGTTCTAGTCACCATTGTCCACCTTGGGAAATATCTACAATTGCTCCTAAGTTATGACTCTTTCAAATCTCTAGACATTCCAAAGACAGGCACAACTATATCTCCCAGCACACATGTTCTTCTTACAGTATGACCCTATACTTTTCCTTTCAGTGAGTGGTAGTTCTGTGTCCCCACTCTTTGAACCTATGCTGACATCTGTCACTGACTTGATCAAAAGAAAATAGTGGAAGTGGCAATATGTGGCTTTTGAGGCTAGATATTAAAATGCCATGTACTTCTCCCTTGTTCTCCTGGGATACTCACTATTGGAACCAAGCTGCCATGCTCTGAGGATGTTCAAACTAAGCCACATGGAGAGGCCACGTGTAGGTCTGGGCCAATAGCCACATCAACCCCCAGACGTGGGCGTGAGGCTGCCTTGGATGATTCCAGATCCAGCTGTCAAGTCGCCCAGCCTTGCAATCTTTCCAGCTGAGGCCCCTGACATAATGGAGCAGAAAAAAGCTATCCACACTCTGTCTCTTCCAAATTCCTGATCCAAAGTATCCGTGGAAAAAAAAAAAACTGGCTATTTTATATTACTAAGTTTGGGGGTGATTTGTTACACAGCAATAGTAACTGGCACAGAAAAACTCAGTATATCTGTAAAAATATAGACCTGTACATTTGCATGTATTATATGTGTGTGTGTGTTTGTGTGTGTGTGTACATATATTTTTCTTAATCACTATTCACTCACTGAAAACCTTCTAGAGAGGATGTCTACAGTGAGCACTAAGTTGGAACCCCTTCTAGAAAAAGATGGCTTATCAAAGAAAAATGAAACCCTTTTAAACCACTCAAAATATACAAAGTAATCCATCTTTATTGCAAATATATAAAAAAAATCTTGTACGCAAATTTAACACCTTACTTCAATTGGCTTTGAAAAGAGATCAAAAATGAAGTCTTTGTCCACAGCAACTAAATAGGGCACCTGAGACTTGTCTTTCTCCACTGCTGAAGGCTCACATGTCTGAAAAGGGTGCAGAATAAATAGAGCAATGCATATAAGGTATACTTAGTATAGTGCTTGACACTTAAGAGTCCACCAAATTCTAGTTATTGTTGCTTTAGTTGTTGTTAGAATTATGATTTTTATTGATTCCAGCACTAACCTTTTCTGATTTAAATTAAACAACCCTCATGTTCCATCTCCACAGGGGGGAAACAAGACAGTATAGATTCTTTTCTATACTGCAGGTAACCAAATACCGAATCTACTGAAAACCTTTTCAGTCTATAACTAAAACTTTTCGGTATATAACCAAATCTGACTTTGGTTAGAAGACAAGAAAGGGATCTCAGATCCATATGATTAGAAATGTTATGTAACATTACATAAAATAAGTATTACACATCTCTATTTGGTTTGGGAAAATAACTTTCCTTATTATAAGGGAGAAGGAGATCAATATGTGTTAGAAAACAAGCTACTGAAATGTTATCTTGAATAATTACTATACGGCTTTCAATGTAAATAAATAAAAATATTACCTTTGATCATTATAAAAGTACCCCCCTAGGGGATTTTATAAGTATTACAAGCTATACACACATTGTGGGAACAGATACCAGGGAACAGAGGTGAGAACAGAGTCAGTCACTTCAGGTTGGTTTTTCCTCTACTCCTCATTGCTGTGTGACTTTAAGTCAATCACTCATCCTCTCTAAATCACAGAGTCTTTAAAATAAGACTAAATTCCAAACTTTTCATCCACACCAAAATAGTTCATATTGGGCTATTAAGAACAGCAGCCCCCATGCTTTCAGAGTAAGAGTCACTTTCCAAACGTTTATGTGTGCGCAATGATGATTTCACAAGCAGAAATATCATTTCCAGAGTCACATGCATTAATTAATCTGTTACAGATTATCTCAAAAAGCACTGTGTCTTGCTGTAAATGCTGCTGTGCATCACATACTGAAATCATCAACGTCAAATGGAAGGAAAGTGATTGGAGATAACTAGCAGTGCACAGAGGCTGGCCCATATCCTTCTTAACACTCTTGGCTTTTCCCAATTAGAGGCTCAAGAGGTAGGGTGGGGAGTTATCCTAAACTGGATATTGATGGGAGGGGGTTAAGAGAATACTAATGGTTAAGAAAAGAAAGGGGGAAAGGTAAAAACCAGGGAAAGGGAACATGCTATGGAACTAAATGAGTTGGTGGCACCTAAGCAGAAATTTCACTTAAGGGGAAGCCATTTCAAAAATGACAGTCTAGTCCCTAGGTTTTAAGTTTGCAGAGGGTTTGACTTCCTTTTGCCTCTAGATAGCCTGGTTTCCTGCCTGGGAGTGGGTGAAGCATACCCCTGCCATTGATCTACTTAACTGTGTAGGGTCACAGTCTCCATCCAGAAAAAAAAAATGCCTTTTATACCCTGAAAAGTGGTGAGAACCCTGTGACTAATGGAGCCCCAACATGGAAAAAAAAATGGCCGGCATATAACTGACTTGGTAGGGCCCTTGTCAGAGAGGTCATGGACTATCCACTGGCTTTTAACTCATAAAAACTGGGTGAGAGTCAGCAGGCTGATGCCTGGCAGGTCTGGATCTGCCCTTGGAGAGAAGTCCTGCTTCCCTCATGTAGGCTCAGCCCCTTCCTGATGTCAGAACCCATGGCTGATGATTTGGGATTCAGAAAGCTGTGGAGTCTTGAGGCTTCACTGGAAACCAAAACCGCCTCTCTCGGATTACCATATATGATGAAGTCTGAGAGTTCTGGTAAGACCTGATGGACCCGTCTGGTTTTACCATGAAGCAGGACACAGCCAATTTGAGGGAGATCCCTTTTCTGATTGATGGCATCTTTAAAAATGTTACCATCACTACCAAAATGCCTTTTCTGCACCTCACACCACCTTGTAGCAGAGCTAAGTCTGTCTTAACACCACAGCACATATTTGTAACTCCTTTTTCTTGCAACCATTTATGTGGCTGTTTTTTCCACAAACCCCACCTGAAGGTCTGGGATATAAAACCATTTTACAACAGCTATTCTTCCAAGTCTTTCCCTCATTCTTGTTCTTAGACAGCTGCACCCCTGAGTCCGAATTTGTTTTTAGTGAACAACTGTTCTGAGCACATTTCTCCACAAGCTCCATCTCAGCTCCAGAAAGGCCAAGGACAAAGATAAGACCAAAGTTGTGTGTGAAGGAGCAGACCCAGGGCACAGCATGGAAAAGGAGTGGACAGAATGATGAGTGGTCCGGCCGAAATAATTTCTTCCAGAGCAGCAAATCCGCAAAAGGGAGTATGGAGAAGGAATCCATGTCTTCCCAGTGATGGGTCAGTGCAAGAGCATAAGACCATTCCTGAAACCTGGTTGGATGGCTAACACTTTTTTCCTAGCCGAAGTTGCGGGCACCTGTTCAGGAAAGGCGGTGAGGAGCCTTCTAAGCTGGCCGGTCTGCCCGTGCTATATAGAGAACTATATGTTAAGCAGTCTAACCGGCCCCCTTCAAGCCTCCACCAAGCCCGAGTGTACAGGTGGTTACCGGCACAGGTACTGAATCTTACCAGAACAACTTTATTACTAGCCCTGGGAGGCTTTTTTAGAGAAAGAATCCCCACCACCGCCACCACGAGTCCCTCCAGCTGGCAGGAAAGAGGCGCACACAGGCAAAAGGCACAGGTAAAGGTTCCCAGTGCAGCCAGGCTCCCACGCTTGCCGGCCACTTCTCCACTAAGGCGGTCTTGGCGCTGGGTGACCTCTGCTGTCAAGTCCCTGAGCGGGGTATAGCGGGGTATAGCCCAGCACCCCCGCGCGTCAACCCAGCCCGCTCGCCCCCCACGGCTCTGGCCCGGCCGTGCAGCCCTGCCGACCGC